GTTGTGCTGTGGGATGTGTTTCCCATACATTTATTTATTTGTGGCGCTCGCCACAATATCAAAACTGACCGATTTTCCAAAAGGCTTTGTTGAATAAACATGAGCACGTACTGCACGTTTAAAAATCAAAACGAGGCACGGGTGTTTTTATATCACTGTATTTCTGAAGAAAGACTGTCTTTAGAAAATTTTCGATGTCATTTTAATTTAATCTTGCATGCTATATGCCTGATAAAGCAGCGTTTGTGAGCTCAGCGCTGCTTTGTGTACAGCTGTTACTGGGGAAACCTCTATTTCTCCCGCTTTAAAGCACTCCCGCGATCGCAAAATCACATTCATTGTTGGGGGTGGGGGTCGCGATCAGGCCCCCCTCGTCATGGGCACTATTACCCCCTGTCTGGCGCCCCTGGGTGGAGTGATATATTGGCAAGACTGATCGGCTAATGGGGGGGGGGTGTCTTTCCTTCATTGATGTCTTTTAAATTCAATTTCATTAAAATTTAATCAACTTTTATTTAACCTTCATATTTTAAATGGTCCTGCCATGTATGGCATGTCACAACGCAGGACATGTCAACTTTCAAATAGTATTGGATGTCAACTACCGTATAGGATGTAAACAGTGCTTCTTTCCATTGACTCATTGGAAGAACCAGTTTAAGTTTGGTGCTTTGGAAAAAAAAAAAAGAAGATAAAATGTGGTAAAGCTTTCTGTGATTTGTTAATATCCTCATTATTTGTCTTTAGTGATTTTATGCAAAAAAAGAAGTGTCCTCAACATCCTGAGCCAGACAATTGTATCTGATGAAAATTCTCTTTTTAACCCCCTTTCAGAAGCCAAGCATTGTGTGTATGAATGTGATTCACAATCATATGCATCTCTCCAGATCCTTGATACAGCTCACGGGCTTCATACAGCTTTTTAATGACAGTGTTCTGGCTCAAAGTCTCACTTTTGTGCTGAAACACAAGATAACAAGATTCCGTCTCCAGTCGAAATTAGGCATGGGCCGATTACCGGTTTCAAGGTACCGCATACCGTGATAAAAGCATTAGCAATTAATCACAACATGAAATTTGATACCGGCATATCCCTAATATATATATATATATATATTAG